ATTAAATTGTCTATTTAAAAATTCACGCACATTTCTTGCATAATGGGGTGGTGCCCCATCTTGTAAAAACCACATGTTTTGTCTAATATTTAAAGGCACATCTTCCAGTAAACCAGGCAAATTGTGTTGCAAGAAATCAAAATAATTTTCACCAGTTAAGCGATTTGGTAATTCAAAAGGCCCCACTAAAATTCCATTAACAATTCCCGCCCCGTTGATTGGTTCAAATCGCTGTTGAAAATTGGTTTCCCTTATTTCATGGGGATTTTCAATAGCCCAAACGTGAGAATTACGTGAATTAATAATTCCGTTTCTAGTAAAGAGGGCTTCATCACTCACTAAAATTTGATTTAAGAAATTGTCATCATTTTGATGTTTATTTAAAAGCCAATTGCAAAAGTCAACCCTTTGTTCATGATCTTCCGGTTGTAAGGCCTGCACTTTTTGTATGTGAAACGGATAGAACTGATTTTCACGTAGAGTTTTCCAAGTTTTATACTGACTAATCGCCAATTGAGTTGAAATTTGTCGGGTGCTTACTGTTGGATCATCACTTACTAATTCTAAAATTTGTTCTTCTAGTTCTATTTGATCGTGTGGTCTTGGAGCACCGGCATGATCTCCTCTGTGAGGTCTTAAGTCACCTGATTCACGAGCTCTTTGCACTACATTAACAAAGGCACGAGGGGTTGGTTGCACTCGATTGGGAAACCGATCCGCATAGATCCGTGATGCCGCGGCAGCATTTTGTAAAGAGTCCCCGTAAATAAGAACCATGTCCACAAGTTCAGCATTTTCGTAAACATGTGCCATTTTTGATTTGAGCCTCGCAACAGACACGATTATTCACTTACGCGTTACCGACTACCGACTGATACTGACTGTATACAACTGAAGAAAATAATTGTAAAAAGATCGTTCCAAATTCTTTCGCTTTTTTATTTCCGATGCGATGAACGGATAAGGCGGATTATATCTGTTGTTGCCAAACACGAGAACATAATATCATTATTGAGACAGGGCGGTACTCAAACTTCCAAAGGGCTATAACTTTGTTACTTTAATTTTACCAGAAAAATGGTAAAGGAAAAAAACATTTCTTTTGATCAGATCTACTCACTGTTAAAATAAATGACTCAACTTCGAAGTCACCCTGTATATATATAATGTCAAAAAACGACAATGCCACTTTTGAAAATACGTAATACTCCTGCCGGGCTTCTCCCAAGCTTAATCGTACAAATCGGACTAGCACCCTGAGTGTCTATGTAAAGTACTAATATCTGATAAATTGTAGATGGATTTATCACGAAGTGTCATTAATATGTTAAACAATAGGATACAAAACCAATCCACGAGGAACACCGGCACTATTAAGATGGACAGTCGCAGAGATGTCAGACTTTACATTAAATAAATATGTGTTTAATTATTATCGGATTCAGAATTTTCTCCGACTTATGGATGTAAATGTTCAATTGTTTAGCTATAGCATGTAGCAAATGAACGCAGTATTATTTTGAGCACCTAAAAAGACGACTATAAACAATGGCTTATCTATGTTTTTTCTAATCAGACTCATGAAAGTTATTCCGTGGTTGACTCGCCAGGTAGGCGTACAAGGGGGTAGCCAAAATATTAGCAAATTCAACATCCGAGGTTCTTATATGTTGAATCCTTTGGCGTAGAGACTACGACTACTATAGAGTATTATTCCACGCTAAATCAGTTCTACCCGTGTTTCGCTAGGTTAGCATCTTCAGGGGAGGATTAAAACTGTTTTGGCCAGAGGTAAAACTCCGTAGTAGTCTTTAGATAGAACAATATAGGGAGGAGTATATTTATCCTACCTATACTGGTTGATGGAGCTAGGTTCTCCATACAACTCTGACTTCAGCACGGCATTCTGCAACGCTTCATCCAAGGCGTCTTTGCTGGTGCCGTATCGGAAGCCCTTCTCGTATTCCGCTATCGTCTTGTCGTCCAAGTTGTTTTCCGGGGAGTTGTATAAACTGGAAGGGATGCTGGGAAGGGATGCACCGCCACTGGCGACACTGTCGCGGAACAGCGACTGATCATCATGTTGCGTCCAGTCCAAGCCATCCAATGGTGATTGCGCCTGGTCCAGGACGTTCTTTTCGTTGAAGTTCACGCCTGGAAGCCACGTGTATAGACAAATGGAAAGAAAAACATAAAAAAACAGTATCATTATTTTCGATTACACAGTGTCAGGCTTAACAAGTTTATGAAATGGTACGCCCAATACAGATCAGTAAGGTGCCAAAAAGCAGTCCTATAATTAAGCTAGTGAATATAGAGCTAAACATGTGATGGTAAAGTCTCGCTTGTTAATGAGAATCGGAAGGTTCCTGAGGAAGAGGGGTGCGATTATATTTCATTTGTCAACATAGTATGAAGAGGGAGCTAGTTGCTGTGAATCCCAAACTTATTTAAAACACGACCCCTTTTAAAAACATTGTTCGCGACTTCCTATTTTCCCCACCCATCAATCAGACGAAAATAGCGTACCTAATTTAGAAGTGATTTCATAAATTTTATTTTAATTTACTGCTCAAGTTTAAGCCAAAGACATTAAAAAAGTTCAACAATTATTTTGATAATGGTGATTTGTCCCACTAAACTTATTATTATTTAGTTTTGTTTCGTTTGATAATCACTTGTTAATTTTCATTTGCGGCGTTAGTAAAATAAAAACACGAGATATAACAAAGTGGTACTTTTGTTTTATTTTTAAAATTCCCGGTGACCTCCTAAGTACCTCATTGCGACCCCCAGGGGCTCGCACTCCAAACTTTGGGAAACACTGCTATACGCTATGGAGTGCCAGAAGATTTTTATCAGCATTGTTCATCGAAAATTATGATTATGATTATTACGTGAGAAACGCCAGAGTAAAATCTCCCCCGTTAATGATTTGATAGGATCTCTTAGTTCAACTATTTTGAATTCAAAATTATTATTTTTAGGTGAAAATCGTATTTATGCTTATTTCGATAAAACAAGGGGCGGAAATTGGTAAAAAATATAATTTAAAAGAATCATCACCTTTGCAAGTATGCCTACTTACTTTTATATTATATTTCGAAAATTATTTGAAATAATTTTAGAGCAAAACCGAACTGTCTTACTATTTTTAGTTTTGTATGAAGCTGACATAATTCCATTACGCTAAAACAAAGATAGTACAAACATCAAGCGAAACTTTTATAATGTATCTCTAGCACTCATAATCATTGTAGCTAATTGAATTTCCATCTTAGCGCACTGTTATACGAATTTAAGTATATTTTCAACATCTTGCTGACAGATTTTAGAAAATATTTTAGTAACATACTGTGCATGCTCAGTTGGGTCACCTCGTTTAACTACCGTAATGAATTTACGATTTTTCATATAAAATCTATTTTTGGATCGTAACAGAATAGGCTAAAACAATGACAGGTTATTAGAACTGTTTGCAGTAGACTTTGTAAGATATCAAAGAGCCAATAACTGAAAAATATTTTATATCTACTCTGTCACATAGATCTTGAACATACGTTCAAGATCTTATACTCGTAAGTATACAATAGTCAAGTCAAAACCCAAGTTTCAATCAGCCACAAAGATTATGAGTGCCAGAAAACAATAATTGAACTTTTTTTTCAATTCATCAGCCGTTTTTGTCTTTTCACGATGGGTTTATCATGTCAGCTCCATAAAAAATTATGAAAGAATATATCAATCAAATTCAAACAAGTAAAAAAGTCCTATTCGGAAATCATAACTTATCATGATAAAACGTGAGAAAAGTACAGTCAAAAATAGCGATTTATATTTAATTGTGTATTTTTAGCCATTTTCATATTCCGAAATTGTACTACCGGCCCAAATGGAACACAATACAAAATCGAAAGTAATGTTAGCGTAACATTCTGGATTTAAACATATTTCTAATTCCAGTGGAGTAGTCGCTTTCCTCCAAATGCGAGAGTGAGTGGTCGATCTTGTGTAGAAATAAAAGAAATCCATCTGAACACGGCACTTGAACATATCTTTTTGAGAATCCACAAACATTGATTTCAGGTAACAGATTCATACATGTTTCAAATTTCTTGGAAATGTTAAAGAAATACTCTATCGACTAACAAATTGGTAAAACTGATGAAGAACCGATTGACAAACATCAGGTCTAAATGTCTTGGAACATTACTGAGATTGCAAAGAGTCATAATGTATTTTTTACACCGAAACAGCCGCGAAGGCAGAAGCCTAAATGCCAGGACACCGTGGCTGTTATTATGATCCGAAAGAAATTTTGTTAATACGATTTTTGAACTGCCATAGTATGAACTGGGAAAAGCCTCCTCTTGTAAATTCTTCAACAATCTCGACACCCTCGGGACGAAGGAGCAGTCGTATCGGCCAGTTCTGGATGTACGAAGTTCGACACGTTCGACACGGTCAGGACGGGAGCCCGAAGGCAGGCACGGTGGCATCATGGAGGAGAGCTCTGAGGAGCAAAGCTCCTTGGTGTAGTAGTAGAAGAGATGTAGACTGCCGACAGCCCGCCGGTGCGAAACGGTCCGGAGACTTCCGTTGCAGAAGATTCATCGATCGAGCATGAATGATGTAGTCGGGGCCGCAGCACCCTAAGCATGTGAACAGTACTCGAGGCTAGGTCTTATCTCGGCCTTGTACAGAGTCATGCGTGTAGTATATTAAGTACGCCTCTGGTTCCCCGAAAATTGCGCATGTACGATGAGTACTCTCACCGGGATACGTTTAACACACAGTATGTCGGGGTTCCGGATTTGTAACAGTTATCGGTGATATATAATAAACCATTAGTATACTTCCGGGTATTATTGATACCAACTAAGACATTACATGGCGACGAGGGTTATTAAAGAACTCGCCGGGTGAGGTTAAGTTTGTGTAAACTCCCCGTTTGTGTTGAAACCTCCAGTTGTTGATGAACCAATCTGTGCACAAGAAAGATGGCAGTTGCAGCAGCGGGTCCTGTGCTCACATTCAATCCCAAGGAGAACGAGTGGGAAGTTTTCTTCAAAAGGTTAGAGCAGTATTTTATAGTACACGGGGTCACTGAAGAAGCTGACAAGAGAGCTCATTTGCTGTATAGTTTGTCTGAGGAGGCGTATATTTTATTAGAAAATTTATGTATGCCGCAAAAGCCGGAAGAAACCCCATACCAAGACATAGTTCAGTTATTGTCTAACTACTATGGTAAAACTGCTGTTGTATGGGTCGAAAGGCAGAAGTTTTATAGTGCATCCAAATCAGGAAATGAGACGGCACTAGAATGGAGTGTACGACTTAAAGGTTTAGCTCGCTATAATTTTGGTCAGCAGCTTGAGTCCAAGCTAACGGACATTTTTGTTCGCAGTTCAATCCTGGGAAGGTGAGAACTGAATTATTCAGCCTAAACGAGAACACCACCTTAAATAACGCTGTTGAAAAGGCCAAAATTATCGAAGCAACGCTAGTAATAAGAGACCCAGTTGGTGAAGTTAAAAGCGAGGTCTTAGAATCCGATGTTTTTCGAATTACACAAAATAATTCAAATGTTGGTGCCACTGCCGATCAACATCAAGATCCTCAACGGTATCATAGAGGGACAGCAGTACCTGCAGCGCAGCGGAGCCAAGGAGGCACGCGCAGGAGTGGGGGCAACAGCTCAAACATGGCGCTGCCGCAGCTACAGCCGTTCACATCGTCTGGTCGCTCTCCGGGCTGTTTCCGCTGCGGGAGGAACCACAACGGTAATGTATGCCCCTATAAGGAATATATTTGTAACTCTTGTCACGGTAGGGGTCATCTCAGTGTGGTGTGTAAAAAGAAAAAACAATCCTCACCTAAGCACGTTAATTATGTTTTTCCTAATAATGATATTGCTGAGGATTATACAGACGTTTTTTCATCCCCAGTTCTAAGTATTTCTAGCTTAGGAAGCAACAATGATGTGCCACTATATATCGATATTTTAGTTGAGAATGTCATGTTGAAATTTGAACTTGACAGTGGATCAGCTGTTAGTGTTTTGCCAGTTCATGTTTACAAAACATATTTTGGTGCTCACGTCATGAAAAAAACAAATGTTTCCTTGATTAATTTTTCTGGCAATAAGATCATCCCACATGGCACAATCAACTTAAATGTTAAATTTAATTTCAAAGATAGCATCCTACGCTTTTTTGTTGTTGATGGTAACAATCCATTGCTCCTAGGTCGAGATTTTATTAGGAATTATAATATGGGATTTAGAGAAATTCATTATTTGAACAACGATGCTGTTGATGCTCTATGTAATGAGTTGCATGGCGTTTTTGCAACCAATTTGGGAAGGTTCAACAAGTGTAAGATCTCCATAAATATTAAACTTGATGCAAGTCCCATTTTCCATAAACCTAGACCGTTACCATTTGCAATTAAAAGTAAAGTGGAGGAGGAATTAGATAAATTAGTCACTAATGGTATAATATCTCCAGTGGAGTTTTCAGAATGGGGTACCCCAATAGTACCAATTTTGAAGGAAGATGGAGGAATAAGAATTTGTTGTGATTATAAGGTAACTATTAATTCAGCTATTCTAGTGGACAAATTTCCCTTGCCTAGAATTGACGACTTATTCACAAAACTGAAAAATGGAAAGCAATTTTCCAAAATTGATCTCTCATCGGCTTACAATCAAATAGAGCTCGAGGACTCTTCAAAAAAATTTACGACTATTTCGACTCACAAAGGTTTATTCGAATTCAATAGATTGCCGTTTGGAATAAACTGCGCTCCAGCACAATTTCAAAGAATTATGGAGCAGCTGTTCAATAAAATGCCCCGTGTATGTGTTTTTCTTGATGATATTTTAGTTACAGGTATCGATAAAGAAGATCATATTAGAAATTTGAAAAGGGTTTTACTTTGTCTTTCCGAATGTGATCTCACTGTTAGAAAAGAAAAGTGTGTGTTTTTGGCTGATTCCATTTCATATTTAGGTGTTTGTTATAGACGATACAGGCCTACATAAAAGTTTAGGAAGAGTTAAGGCAATACGCGACATTTCTCTACCAGAAAATGTCACTCAACTTAAGTCTTTTTTAGGCAGTATCACTTATTATAATCGTTTCATCAGAAATCTCCCAGATATACTTCACCCTTTATATAATCTTCTGAAAAAAGATGTAAGTTGGTCATGGGATAAAACATGTCAGGATTCATTTGAGTATATTAAACTTGCATTATGTTCTGACGATGTGTTGGTGCATTATAATCCTGACCTACCAGTAACTTTGACTATTGATAGCTCGGACTATGTAGTGGGAGCAATTTTATCACATGTTTTTGAAAATGATGTCGAAAAGCCAATTTGTTATGAGTCAAGAACTCTCTCGAAAAACGAATTGGCCTACTCTATTTTGGATAAAGAAGCTACCGCGATTGTTTGGAGTATTTTACCAATATTTGTGGGGTAGAAAATTCACCTTGGTCACAGATAATAAGGCACTCATGTCAATTTTTGGACCTAAAACGGGTGTTCCAGTGATGGCAGCAAATAGACTGCAGAGATATGCACATTTTCTGAGTGGCTTCAATTTTGATATCAAGCATGTGTCATCCATTCAAAATGTAGCTGACTTCTTAAGCAGAATGCCGATTGAAGATGACATGTCTGTGCAACTGCTCGACTTCCCCATTCATTTAAATTATCTCACTAATTCCGATTCTAGTATACCAGTCGATGTTAACAAGGTCAGAGAACTTACATCCTCAGATTCAGTACTTTCTGAGGTACTCAATTTTGTTAAAAAGGGGTGGCCTGCCAGTCATAAAAGTAATGAATTGAAACCTTATTTCAGTAGGAAAAATGAAATCAATGTTGAAGACGATGTCCTGCTTTGGGAACATCGAGTTATCATACCATTTCAGTTACGAGAGGTGATATTGAAGGAGTTGCATGCTACCCATTTGGGAATTGTTAAAATGAAGTATCTTGCGAGATCTTACTTTTGGTGGCCGTCCTTGAATGATGATATTGAAAGTGTTAGTAAGCAGTGCAACATATGTCAACGCTTGCAATCATCGCCGGCCAAAGCACCGTTACAATGTTGGCAAATACCCGAGGGCATTTGGTCGCGGATACATATAGATTTTTTTGAACCGAAGAAAAACAATTTCTTTTTGATTGTCGTTGATGCCTTTTCCAAATGGCTTGAAGTATTTCCGATGGCATCTGTTACCACTAACATGACTATTACAAAGCTGCGAGAACTTTTTTCTAGATTTGGATTGCCTAAGACTATTGCAAGTAATAATGGTCCCCAGTTAGTGTCAGAAGAATTTAAACAATTTGCAAATGTTAATGGTATTAAACTAATAACTATTCCGCCTTATGAACCTCATTGTAATGGTGCAGCTGAGAATAGCGTAAAAACTGTTAAAAATTTTTTGAAAAAGGTTAGTGATCAAAAGAACTGTAATTTACTATTAGCTCAATTCCTTATGACATATAGGAATACTGTTCACTGTTCTACTGGTTATTCTCCTGCTAAAGTATTTTTAGGTCGTTCGTTGAGAACTCGATTTGACATGCTTATACCAAGCTCAGTCCAAGACAATGAAAAAGTTGAACTTGAAAATGTTTACCAAAACATACAACGTTCTCAACGAAGAAACGCAAAATACTTCAGAGGAAATAGGAAAGTATGTTTTAATATTGACCAAATTGTGTTGGTTAAAGATTATCGCGATAAACAAGTAACTTGGTGTAAAGGACAAGTTGTTAAAATTAGACATACTAATCAGATCAGAGAACTAAATGATGATTATTCGTTGGTCTACCCACCCTGCGTGGAGCTACCGCACACTGTAAACGTTTTTTCCAATAGTGATGGCGCCAGCAATACTTCTGCCGGTAGTTCGGTTGATGATGTGTTTGTGGATGCCGGAATCGCGGATAGTGAACGCGTGGATGTCAGTGACTCGGATTCTAGCTCCATTGGTGAACAGGCTGAACTTACACGACCCATACGTATCCGTAAGGTACCGGTTAGGCTCCAATACTAACCATTCATTAATTATTTCTTTTTTTATTGTTACCCATCTGATCACTGTTAACAATTTTCGGGAGAGATGAATGTAGTATATTAAGTACGCCCTGGTTCCCCGAAAATTGCGCATGTACGATGAGTACTCTCACCGGGATACGTTTAACACACAGTATGTCGGGGTTCCGGATTTGTAACAGTTATCGGTGATATATAATAAACCATTGGTATACTTCCGGGTATTATTGATACCAACTAAGACATTACAATGCGGATAAAAGTACTTCTTAGCCCTAAAAAAATAGGCTATTTTTTCCCATTGGCTGCTGCTATTGACGAGATGTGTTCAGGCCAGATCAAGTCGGAACCGGATGAGCGATGGGACGCTTTTCCTTCGTCAAGGTACAGTACTGTGTTTTGAAAGCATTAAACTGTACAAGATGTTTGCGTCCCCAAGCTGTGAGAAGATCCTGGTCTCTCGTTAGAGAGGAAGTCGCTGCTAGACTTCTTTTTTCCAGCTCACCGGCAGAGATCCGCTTGGCACTCTGAATTGCTGCATGCAAAGCTGTGGATTGGGATGATCGTACAGGAAAGAAGGTCGCTGAATGTAAGAGGAACAGTGTCGGAGCCAAGACCTATCCATGGGGAACATCCGCGTTAACGTTGTAGGATGAAGAGCAGAACCCGTCAATCACGACGGATATCTTGCGGCCTGAAAGAAAGTCAGCCAACCATCTGCAGAGGTTCCTTGGAAGCCCATAGGATGGAAGTTCGTAAAAGGGCAGTGTGCCACAACTGATTGAAGGCTTTCGTGATATCCAGAGGAACGACATGAGCCTTACCATAAGACTGGAAAGTTTACTCCAAAATTGCGTGACGTAAGCTAGGAGGTACCCTTCGGATCGCTGGTGCCGGAAACCATACTGCCTGTCGCTAATCAAGCCGTGCCATTGGAGACAGTCCAGAAGCTCGCGATTTAGGTACTTCTCCATCATCTTATAACAGAAAGCAGAGGTACAGGCCTGTAGTTGTAAGGGTCGGTCCTAGATCCCTTTTTTGGGATGGGTTGGACATGAGCAAATTTCCAGATTTCTGGGAAGGTGCCGGATATCCGGAAGAGACGCAAAAGAACTGGAGCAAGGCATACGGTCCGGACCAGAAGCTTTGTTAATGTCGAGCGACAAGAGCACCCATCTTAAGGTATTATGCCTAAATGTTACTTCCCGGATAGTGTAGGGAACCCTTTGAATCGTCGGCACTCGGGCGTCCATGGTGGAGTTGGCAGCAAAGCACTTCCGTCTCAGCCTTTGAGTCGGTTATAATCATTCCTTCCTGACACGTAAGTGGTGGAAGGCCATTCTGTGAGAAGAACAATTTATTTCACAAAAAGGAAATAGCAATAACATAAAAAATTGTCAACCTGACAGAACAACAGAATGTAGGTTCAAAAGTTTATTTATAATCATATGCTCAAGTAATAATAGGAAGTGGTGAAACAACGTCATGTTATGCATTTACCATTAGAGAACATTTACAATTTAGACAATTTATCAAGCAAAAGCTCCATTATCCTATCATCTTCGCTGGCATCTGAAATAACGTTTAACATAGGATTGAGTCGCTTGGATTTAGGCCTCCTGCGTAATTTGGTGTCACTGTAACCATTTTCAAAAGTTATGTATCGCTTGTATTTTCTCACGCTCATTAAGCTGTCACCTTTTGGCTTTTCAAAAATTGTCTCCAAGTTTGAGCAGACTTTCTGCGGATTTCCGGTACTTGTTCCTGAACTTTTTACAGGCGGTTTCCTGAAAGAAGAAGTACTTTTTTTACGTCGCCGTGATGCTTTATTTCTTCCTCCATCAGTTTTATGTTTGTCGCCAAGCAGAAAAGATTCTATTCCGCCTATCTGAGAAATTTCTGAATCGACTATTGTAGCTAGTACTATTTCATCCTTTTCACCCGTAACTGAATAACAGTCGCATATGACAGGTTCATCATCAATAAAGGTTTGATTTAGTTCATCGCACACTCTTCTAGACAATGTCGACGAATCGTGTAGCTTTGAAGTGCCATTTTCGAAATTATCTGATATAGCTTCATCTCTATGCAGATTTGTTGCAACTTGACATTTGTGCTCGAGCAATTGTCCATCGGCATGTCTGCTGAGGCACTTCGATTTTCTTTGAGAATATGTTCTTGAAGTCCGAAGTGGTTTTCGTCTATTATTATTGTTACTATTAGCAGCTGTAGATTCATTTATCTCATCACAAGCGTAACTTTCTCTACCTCTTGTGGTTATGTTTGAAAACATACTTGAATCACTTTCACACTTCGATGAGCTTGGGGGTATCCACTGTTCTTCAGAAGTATAGCAAGGACTAAGAGTTCGATCTGCATCATATTCATAGGAACCAAACGGAACTATTACATTATCCTCATCATCAATAATGTAGACTGAGCTGAAATCCTCCTTTACTGATTTTCTTGAAGAAAGAGTGTTTCGTTTCTTCGTTACACTGGAATTGCTTTGTAAATCAGTGTTTTCCGTATTCGTAGACTTTGACGACAAAACTGTGTTATCTGAAATATTACCGTCCGTCATCCTTCTAGACTTCTTCAATAATGTGACAGAATTCAGCTCTTTGATAACGTGACTTTGGTGACTATCAGAACAAATGTGAAGGTTTCCTAAGTCGTATCTCACCCACTTGGTACAACCTTCTGCGTAAGCTCTGATATTTCCACTACTATCAAGCGAGTCTTCAATAGATAGATCTGTACTAGCAATGGATTTCCTCCGCTGAGCAGTATTCGTATCCATATAGTTCGCTTCGCGCAACCTCATAGACCTCCTCGGCTTGTTATTTCTCAGGACGTTTCTCTCTTCAGACCCACTCTGGATGTCTACAGATGGAAATATTTTTTTCCTATTGTATGAACTATCGAACGATAGACTGTGTCGGTGATATTTCATGTTTTCTTTATCATCAATATGGTTAGGTGGTTGTTCCTTGCCTCTTATCTTTGAGATACATTCTATCTGCTCTGCTTCCAAATGCTCGATACCTCCTTTCTCACTTTCAACAGTGCTCTCAATATAACCTTTATCGCTGCTCCTGGGTCCTAGTTCGACCATCTGGTTGGAATAAATAGTATCACTTCGTCTTCGAGTCGTTATATTTCTAAAATGGTCTTTGCTTTTCTGATAGCATCCAGTCGATGATTTTCTACGACCCCTACGATGGTTACATTCCGCTATCTCATCTTCAAAATGCTTTTTGAGTCCTTTTACAGAACCTGTCGCATATTCCTCGGCAAAAGTATCTCCATAATGATCGGGTCCATATGAGTTTGAGTATCCTCGCAATCTAAGCACTTTACCTGGGGACCTTGTTTCTTTTATTAGCTCCATATTTTTCAAACTATCCTTTCTTTCAATGTTGAAAAAACTTTGACGTCACATTGTTTTTCTGACTTCTTCCAGAGGATTCTAGTAAAGTTGATAGTAGGGAATTATCATGTAAACGTCATCTAAAACTAGTTTTACGGGGTGTAAAGTTCCTCAGACTTACATCAATCAATCGAGAAACGTTATTATTTACAGTCAATTGGAAAATTATTGCCCTACTAGTATGAAGGTTTTCCGAATTCACTTTTTTAACTGTTTCAAAAATAGTGTTTTTTGCAGAGTTAGTTCTATTCTAATTGAAACAACAATCATTCAAGTGGGTCATTTTTGGTCCTAAAATAAAGGGTGATCTGCTGCCCAACTTGTAATGCGCAAAATATAGATGGATGTCATTTTGTCCACGAATGTCCACTTGATGTATATAACTACTCAAGGTCAAATCCTCATTGTTTAAAAAAGTGTAGATAGTCATTTTGTAAATAATAAGTAAAGGCAGTGTCATTATTTAACCTCTTCAATAAATATTATCTGCAACAATGAGTGTTGCTTACTCCCACACCAGCCGTTTTTGGTTTAAGAACATCTTAGAAGCGTTTACCGATGAGCCCCAGAAACACAAAGTATATAGCATGCGAGACACAACCTGACCAGGACACAACATCATTTGCATATATTATTTTTACGTTTCATAACACTGTTATTTCTATTATTTATTTGGTCAGACTAAAGTTATAACTAACATATTTATCGAACTTCAATAGCATCTATGTAGAGCGCAAGCGAATTTTCAACTACTTGATGTACTGGATTCTGCCGACATAAAAAAGTTCCATTTTCTAAACGATAATCTAATAGCGTTTTTTATCGAAAACTGAGGCTCTTTTATTGTCAAAAAGTAACCAAGATACGCAAAAAAGCAAAAGGCACAAAGAATTTATTATAATCGTGTCCAGTCAAATCAGGGCCTCAAATGCGCTACTAATACTCCAAGAATAAGGAGCGTCCTCTGGAAAGACCCTTTCAATTCCAACACCAGCAGAGTCATTCTATGGACCTAGCTCCGTACCGTCAGTCATTCGTACAATAATAAATTGTAGGACGCTTTTATGACCTTGATTTTCATAGTCGTCTCTCTCCTTCAGAAAGGCTGTGTTATTTCTAGACTTTTACTGATCCATGTCAGCGTCTGCGCTCTCCTATTGTGAAACCATGTTTTCTTTTTGAATTGTAGGAAATTTCAGGCTAATGTAACATATGATATAGATCAAAAGCATGAACAATTTGATGCAAATAGTTATTTGTAACATAACCCCATAATAGAGCGCTGACACGGAACAGTAGAAAATTATGAAAATCAAGGAGGCCATAAAGGCGTCCCTCAATTGTAGGAATGACTGACAATGGTCATGGATAAACATTAATTCAATTCACCATAGTTTTCGATACATCTGATAAATATCTATTTCTGGGTACATTTTGAAAACGAGATTTCTTTCGGACTGCTTCGGACTTTTTTTTAAATTAACAAAAAAAACCCACAAATTAAATTAAATACCCCCCCCCCCAGAATAAATTCAATAACCTCGAAAACGTTAGAAAGGAGAAAAATACAATTTGGTGTATTCAGTGGCGGATCTAAGCATCTGTCTGGGTCGGGCGCACTGGTGGTCTCAGGATTCATGTCCAGGAAGATTTTCGTCTCGGTGGAAAGTTGGAGAGTGCGAGGGAAGGAGAGGGGCGACGCTTGCATAGCCTCCGAAAGAGAATGACTCAAAGCCCTTATAATAATAGAAACACGCCTCTACAATTCAGGTCTAGCAAGATAGATTTTGCAGCAATACACGCCCATATGTACAATCTTATGGAAAACTGGAAGCTTTGGACGTCTAGGGGAGGGGTGCGCACTTCCCTCTAAATACGCCAATGGGTATATTTTGATATACTTATTATGCTTTGACAAAATGCGAGATATGTATGTATGTTCTATATTCAGAGAAACTCATAGAAGTCGGTAACGGTATTCGGTCGTCCGTGGAAAAGTTACCTTGTGGTTTTTCAAAGACAATAATCATAAATTTTGGTAAGTTATCGCAATTAGTGTCAAATATTTGATAGGTGTAGTGATCGCAGTAAAAAAGACCCTGGAATCAAGAAGATGTCAGCAACTAGAATCTGAGGCCGAGGATGTGTGGATAACAGTTGGTCCTAAGAATAGTGAAACTGTTTTCATGTGCTGTGTGTACTTGCCTTCTTACGACATAGCTAGTCATACATATTTTCATAGTAAATTACAGAACAATTAAAACATTTTCAAAAAAAACTCAGTTCTAAAAACAGGTGATTTCAATTTATCATCTATAAATTGGATTCCAGTACAAAATTGTATCTACTTGGAGCCTCAAGGAGTAGAAGATAAATATGCCACTCTCATCGATACTCTTACATACCTAGAAATGGCACAATTTAATTCAATAGCTAATTGCAACAATAAATTGCTAGATCTAATTTTCTCCAATAAAGGTGTGATTTCAAATATATTGCATACCGCCGATAGTTTAGTTATTGAGGATAATCATCATCCTGCTATCGAGTTTTTTTAACAATATAAACTGGGTCAAATCGTTCGATGAGAAAAATCACGAATCTATACCCAGCACAGTTTACTATAAAGATAAAATTGCTCGTGATGGTGAAAATGTATGCAACTTATTCTCGGAATTTTTTCCACCGTTTCTGTTGAACCTCAAAAGTTGGTTCCTCTAAAAGTGAATGGAAATCATAGTATTTCATACTTATTGCCTTTAGAGACAGTCAAAAATCTCATTTGTAATATTGACGAGAACAAAGGTTCAGGACCCGACAACATCCCTCCCATTTTCATTAAAAGATGTTCGGAAAGTATGTGTATATTTCTAAAACTAAAACATTTTCCTACTAAATGGAAGGTTGCACATATACTTCCGATATTCAAAAATGGAGATAAAAAACTGGTAACTAATTATAGACCTATCAGTGGTCTGTGCACTTTTGCAAAGTTGCTCGAAAAAGTTGTTTACAACCTAATAATCGACGAACAGCACGGATTTTTTCCAAACCGTTCCCTAGAATCTAATCTTTTGTGTTACACTGATTATATTTATGAAGCCCTAGAGAGCAAGACTCAAGTCGATTGCATATACTCTAACTTCAGCCAGGCTTTTGATAAAATAAATCATGAATTGCTGGTTGAAAGGCTTGCTGAGACTGGGGTCGACGATGCATTGGATATGGTCTTACATTACCAATCGTAAGCAAATTGTAGCTATCACCGGTTTCAGTCGCTGCCGGTTACGGTTACGTCTGGCGTCCCACAAGGAAGTCACCTAGGTCCTTTATTATTTATAATTTTAAATATGCAAATTGTGTATTATACGCCGATGACTTGAAAATATTCCATACAGTGAGAGATATGAGGCCCGTATCGTCAGTCGTCCATACAATTGTAGGGCATCTTTATGGCCTCCTTGATTGTCATAGTTTTCTACTTCTCCATGTCAGAACTCTATTTTGAGGTTATGTCACAAACATCAATTTGCATCAAATTTTGCTTGGTTTTGAGTTATATCATGTTTTATCAGCCTGAAATTTCCTACAATTTAAAAAGAAAACATATCGTCACAATAGTAGAGCGCTGACGCTGACACGGGACAAGTGTAATCTAGAAATTTTTGAAGGAGAGAAAGGAGTATGACAATCAAGGAGGCCATAAAGGCGCCCTACAATTGTAGGGATGACTGACGATACGGGCCTTAATGACTCTAAAGAAATCCAAAGTGATATAGATACTTTTTTCAATTTTTGTGACAATAATGATTTGTTTCTAAATGCTGATAAATGTACATTTATTAGACTCTCCCGGAAAAAATCTCATCATAGAATACCGGTACCAAATCAAAAATATACCTTTGAAGGAAACGGATATAGTGAAGGACCAGGACTCCTCCTAGATGCAAAAATGACTTTCCAACCACACATAGAAAACTTGATTTGCGAATCAAACAAAATGTTGGGATTTATCTGTAGAATCTGCAGGGATTTCAAGAGTGCAAGAGCCATGACATCCCTATATTATGCATATTTTTATAACAAGTTGAACTTTGCTTCCGTTATATGGAACCCTCAGTATATTACATACATAAATCGAATTGAAAATGTACAAAATAGATTCTTGAAGAGATTAAGTTTTAAAATCGGCAATCCGGTACGTGACGGAAACTATTAGACAAAATTTCAATATCATGACCTTAAAAAGTAGAAGAATGATGTCCGAAGTGTGTCAAATAAATATTAATGTGCCAGATAGAAACTACCGCCATTCCAAGTTTTTCAGGATTCCCTTCTGTAGAACGAATTTATGAGTCAACTCACCTGGAATTAGGGTGTTTAACGATACCCCTATAAATTTGGACATTTTTGTGGTTAATTTTAACAAGTTTAAAGCAACGGTAAGGAGGCAGCTTACATAGGATAGTATCATACTATCTAATTGTTTGCTGTGATACTGTTGTCAACCATTAATACTTTTATATACTTTTATATAGTATTTTATATGTTTTGTTATCAAAGCTGTCTAGTAACGTGCTCTGTGTTTGTGTTTTTTGGTGACTAGTGCGATTCATGGAATAGTGTAACTGATACATGCTAATTTTCAAAAAAATTAAATTTTAAATTTATATTGTTTTATAGTAGTTGCTATATCATAGTATTGTTTATTCTCATATAGTAGGCTTGTGATGCAGATTTTCATATTTTCTGGATTTTGTAATCTATGTATCTTTTCAATTTATCACTATAGTAAGCAGCGGGTGCTGTCTTTGGAATCCACATTCTGTTGCACCCCAAACATGAGTAAATGAATAAATAAATAAATATCGAATTTCTTCAAACACGCTCTAATACACGCCTGTCATTGACCTAAAAGCACGTAAAAATCATTATCTTTTATAACAGATACCTCGAACCATCCAGTTTTAGAAGACTTACAGGTTTGGTTACCAAGATGTCCATGCTCTTTTTGTGTCGAACAACATATTCCCGTACTAAATTACTGGCTCTCTCTTCGAACTATG